GAAAGAAAGAAAGAAAGAAAGAAAGAAAGAAAGAAAGACCAGATACTTCCTTTAGCACAACAGGGAAACCTGTGGTCAAGCAAAGCATGACTGAAAAAAAAGAACAAAGCTGAGCCCTGACTGAAGGTGATGGGGAAATAATATTGTTGCAAGACCAGTCATTCAGAGGAACCATGGACGGAGGGGCATTCTGACACTCAACTTTCTGAGAACTCCTCTAGCAAAGAAAAGGAAAGAGTTTGCCCTGGGCTTCTTGAAGAAGGAGGGATTTCTTACCATATGTGACACCTTTTTAGGAGATTACCAATTTTCTCAAGAAGTCATGGGTTCTATTTTTCCCTTCTTGGGGCTAGCTTGGCCCTTAGCCAGACATTTACTACCACTTGGTTCCTTCTGGGCATTTTCCACCTCGGGTGGAGTGGATATTTGTTGATTGTCTTTCTAGCATCCACTCTCTGTAATAGACCCACCTTAGTTTGGAAGGGTTTGTCTCTCCTGCATACTATACCCATGTGGTCCAATTAGACCTTCACAACCCCCCATCCAGAGATGGAGCATGTGACCCAGGTCTAAGGCAATCAGCACGTGGTATCCTATTAGAAACGATGATTAAATAATTCAAAGGTGGACTGATTGGAGTGAATTCCAGCACCTTTTTGAGGAAGCTTCTAGGAAAGAATCTCTCTCCTTCCCACTGGACCTGAGTCTCAGAAGATGCACAATAGAGTTACTGGCAGCCATCTTGCCACTATGTGGCCTGAGAATTGACGTCCATAGGAAGGAGAGCAGAGCTGAGCGATGGAAAATGTTTGGCCCCTGATTCCGGTCACATTTGAGGTCAGCTCTAAACCTGGACCTGCCAGTTGTAAAAGCTAACAAATTCCCATTTCTGCTTGGGCCAGTTCGAATTGGAGTGTCACTTTCAAATTAGTTCTGATGAACTCGTAGGTTTGGGGCTAGGGCAGCCCTTACAGGGTTTATTAAGACTTGTTCTAGCCTAATGTTTCCCAACATTTTTTCCCGCTCTGACACACACAATAGATTTTATGCACTTGCAGAGCATAATCTTGTTAAAAAAAAAAAAAAAAAAAAAAAA